CCCAACTTTCTTTCCATGACGGCAGAATAGACAGAGGCAATACAGCAGTTCATTGAGTCAAGGACATTGTTCCCCATAATGGTAAGATTTTGTACATATGCCACACCAACACAACAGTCTGTTCGACATTCATCATCAACATTCAGCAAGTCTCAGTACATCTGTGATCAAACCTGTAACCTTTACAGTTCATTATAATTATACTAATTTATTACCCAAAAAATAAGCATTCTGTTATTATTTACCTAATATGCTATTGTTATTCTGTGAAACACAACGAGAGAAATTCAAACCAGTCCGACTGTGAAGCTGCGTTGCTATGATTTGTATCGTGAAAAGTGCTATACAAATAAACGTGGATTGAATTGAAATTGAATTGGTTTGAACGAGCATGTGCACTGTATTTCATAAAATAGTTGGTAACACTTTACTTGAAGGGGTGTGCATAAGACTGACATGACACCTTCATAATCATGACATGACACCTACATGTAGGTGTCATGTCATGATTATGAAGGTGTCATGTCAGTCTTATGCACACCCCTTCAAGTAAAGTGTAACCAAATAGTTTTGTGAGGAACAGACCCAAAGTCATTCTTCACTGATAACCTTGCCCTCCATTGCAAGCTCTGAAGTCTCTTTCACACACATCCAGATTTGAAAAGGTATTGATTCTAATGTGTTGCAATTAATCACCACACAAATATCTGAATATGTACAATGGAGAATAAGATTTGAGAGCTGCAGCGAATGTAACGCAAAAACCACATAAACTTGGCCTTGTTGTGGCTCCCAAAAACAAAGATCTGGGTCTCGACTTACATAATCATACAAGATGGAGATCAATTTCTAATGTACACTCTCAGAAAAAAAGGTACAAAAGCTGTCATTGGGGCGGTACCTTTTCAAAAGGCACACCTTTGTACCTAAAGACTCCATATTGGTACCTTAAAGGTACAAATTAGTACCTAAAGTGTACATATTAGTACCTAAAAGGTACCGCCCCAGTGACAGCTTTTGTAGCTTTTTTTCTGAGAGTGTACTAAAAGAAGTTACCTCAATTACTGGTCGTTGCAGTCTGTTCTTCACCATCATGATCTTCCAGAATCCCATGGCTCTGAATAACTCAAATTCTAAAATGAATGCTGCAATAAATGTGTCTATTTCAGTTGACCTACAGATACTGATTTGGATATGAATCCAGCTCTTGAGGGTCTAGTTTTAGGGGGGGTCTTGTAATATTTGCAGAACATATAACATGATATTTTTCAAGTAGTAGAAATTCAAAAACAAAACAAGTAGACCTCAAAACCACAAAGCCTCATTAAACCAGAAAAATTATATTATGCAAGGAACTTTTCGGCAAATTACGTAAAAGAGATGAATGCGCACTTAACATACATCTTGCTACTATATAAACCAGAAGCAAGATTCCACGATTAAAAGAGAAAATTAAATAACCTTTGTGCGTTTCTTAAATGCTCACTCGTTGTCTATAAACATGCTTTGCTGCGCTTCTTGTTGAACTTCTCATTCTCTTAAATAGACATTAAAAGCCACGCAAACAGTAACACATTGCCCAAAACCATCTGCAGCATTTGAAGGGAAGTCTTGAAAGTTTCCCTGTGGTTTGGTACGCATGTTGGATCTAAAGAAAGTGACTTGTCAAATGGCCACAGGAAGCTCGGAGCGTTTGTGAACGCAAAACAGAGGCAGATTTCCAGTAAACATGAATTACTCTGTGGCGAAACCATCTCGTTTGCACTTACACATAGGGGTAAGATGTGCCAGGAAGAAATGCTGTGCTACTATGACTAAATACTGTCAAAGACTGTTTATGGCTTAAGGAATAGATAATCCAAAAATGAAAATCTGTTAAAAATGTAATCAAACTAATCTACATCTTGGATGGCCTGAGGGTATTTCTTCATCACAGATTTGGAGAAATCCACAATAATCCACACCACTCCAGTCCAAAAAATTTATTCACCCTTTAGGATATCCGAGATGTAGATGAGATTGTTTCTTCATCAGAACAGATTTGGAGAAATGTAGCATTGCATCACTTGCTCAGCAATGGATGCTCTGCAGTGAATGGGTGCCGTCAGAATGAGAGTCCAAACAGCTGATAAATTTATGGATAAAGAGATCTTATTCTCTATGGACTGGAGTGGTGTGGATTATTGTGATGTTTTTATCAGCTGTTTGGACTCTCATTCTGACGGCACCCATTCACTGCAGAGCATCCATTGCTGAGCAAGTGATGCAATGATACATTTCTCCAAATCTGTTCTGACGAAGAAGTAAACTCATCTAAATCTTGGCTGGCCTGATGGTGAGCGTTTTCAGCTAATTTCAATCATTTTTCCGTGAAATATTCTTTTAAAGCTGCCAGAAAATGATGATGCTACAAAGAGATTTTGTTGGAGCTTTTGTCAAGCAGCACAACTATGGACATCTGGCAGCAAACTTCTTTTCGCTGTTGATGAAGAATGCATTAAGAGTTTACGTATTTTTATAGAATAATAAAGCACAAAATTCAACCAGCATTCAACAATGGCAATTCCATTTATACAAGAAAAAAATTTAAATCAGCTGACAATGCAAATGACAAACACACAGCAGGTTCTTCTAGAGGCAAAACAATGAATTGGATGATACACATTAAATGGTTGATAAAATCATGAATAGGAGTTTATTTACGCAGTGCAGTAACTAAACATGTTTTATTGTATTTGTTCGTGTGACCAACTTGGAAACTCGACACACTCAACTATTCAACATAACATTAAAAAAATATTGGGGAAACGTACTAGCTACATTTCTAAACATTTAAATTAGTCTTCATATAAAATAATTAAATAATTAGATGAAAAAGTACTATGAAATGGCAAATTAAATCCTCATTTTAATGTTGAAAAAATAGATAACGCTGCATGCATTCCTATAAGGGCTTTGAGTTAAATAAATGAATGCAATTAAAAATCGACATCAACGTCAGCATGTAATTTTGGACAACAACTTCATGTTAAACTATAATTTTGGTTCCTAGATCTATAAACCTGCGATTGGTTTTCCAGACAAGTTAGACCTATTCTTGGATTTTAAATTATATTCAGCAGAAATACAAAAAAACGGCTTGCGAACGAGCCAAAAACAGACCCAATGCCTGACAAATCAGTTTTGAAAGTCTGAAGCTACTGACTGTCACTGAATAAAGAAAAAATCAGATTTGTGGTTAATTTCAAATTTGAAAAAAAAAAAAAAAAAAAAAAAAAACCCCAAAACGCTGCATGCATTCCTATAAGGGCTTTGAGTTAAATAAATGAATGCAATTAAAAATCGACATCAACGTCAGCATGTAATTTTGGACAACAACTTCATGTTAAACTATAATTTTGGTTCCTAGATCTATAAACCTGCGATTGGTTTTCCAGACAAGTTAGACCTATTCTTGGATTTTAAATTATATTCAGCAGAAATACAAAAAAACGGCTTGCGAACGAGCCAAAAACAGACCCAATGCCTGAAAAATCAGTTTTGAAAGTCTGAAGCTACTGACTGTCACTGAATAAAGAAAAAATCAGATTTGTGGTTAATTTCAAATTTGAAAAAAAAAAAAAAAACAAACAAAAAAAAACATCCAACATAATAAAAGTCAACATAGTGGTTAGAACATGCAACAATTTAGCTGCTTGAACATTATAATCCACACTGTAAGAAATCTACAGCCCATCTGAGTGATTGATTAAAGTCTCACAGTGAAGGTGTCAAACCATCTGAATGGATTGGCGTCTTTAATCACTCAAACACTTGGTGTTTCCAAGCTGAACACTTTCACCTGAGATGGTTGTTTCAGCAGGGCGTTCTGAAGAAACGGCCGGAAATAAGAAATCTGTACTTTCACCAATAATGATCACCATATCAAGAAAGCAGCAGTGGCACACGGAGCAAATCACATGACTCAAAACTTCACTGTGTGAGCTGCTTCTGGACTGCATGGTTTACTAAAACTGAATGGCTAACAATAAAATTAGTTCTGGATATTCAGCTGAATCTCACGAAAACTGTCAAGAAATGTCCAGCTCACCCTGAAAATCAAAAGAAATGAGAAATTGTATTTTGCCTAAACAATTTTTTTTCATTTGCATTTTAACATTTTCATTAGAATTAAGCACATTTACCCCAAATTCCCCATTACCGTAAAGCAATAAAAAAGTCTGGTATCACTTTAAAGCTTTTATATATATTGCATTATAAAAGTAGTTTTAATGCATTAATTATGCCTCGTAATGTACCTTATAATGCATTGTATGAGTTCATGAATAATTGTAACCACAGTTTTAATACATTATAATACTGATCTATTCATTTTTACACCTTTAGAAAGTATAATGCATCAAACTTTATATATATATTGCATTATAAAAGTAGTTTTAATGCATTAATTATGCCTCGGAATGTACCTTATAATGCATTGTATGATTTCATGAATAATTGTAACCACAGTTTTAATACATTATAATACTGATCTATTCATTTTTACACCTTTAGAAAGTATAATGCATCAAAATGCATGTCAAACCTAAAAGCATAACGCATTTTAACGTTGGGTTACAATTATTTATGAAAAAATATAATCCATTACAACACACATTATGAATACCATCATAATACATTAAGGCTTTAAGTGTTACCAAAAGTTTAATTAATGCGATATGGAAAAATAGCACATGATTTGTATTGCAAAGTACAATTGTAAGTATAACTCGTGGTATCCGTTTTACAGAATTTATGATGATTTAAATAATGTTTTTTGTATTACAGTAATGAGTTTTTGTGTGGAAAATAAGTTTCAATTTCATGAAAATGTCATCTTTATGGTCTTAAAAATAGTTTTTTTTTCTTTATGCAAAATTCGATTTCTTCTTTTTTCTTTGAATCTTGGAGTGAAATATGACTGCGGAAATATTAACTTGTTTGTTAAATTAAAAAAAAATAAAAATAAAAAAAATATCACCATAAATGTCAGAAGCCACAAATAGACTGGGAGAAACAATATCCAAATGCTTGAGCACCATCAAACATCATAACATGAGACTGAAAGAGTAAAACTGAGCAGTGGTGACTGGAGTGATAGATCAGTTCAGGTTACAAAGACAAAAGGGAAAACACACAATTCCAAATCAACGCATTCCTGATTCAGCGCTTGTCTATGTACAAGGGTTTGACTCATCGGAGTGCTTTTGTTCTAATCTCTTTTTTTCCAGACAAACACAAAAATATTGAAATGTTTCAGAAGTCCTGTAACAGTGCAGTGAACTGGGCTCCATTTCAAAGTCATGCAGTCGCTGCGATCTAAATAAAACCGAGCCAGCGAACAAACAAAAAGAGGCAAAAAAACCCAACAACTTTCACCTCCATGCATTTGACGCATGAACGCAGACTTTGGGGCTCAAATGTGAATTCTTAAGGGTTTGTCCAAGTGTGACCCTTCATAAAGTCATTACGGTAACAGCATCTCAGTCCAGCAGCCAGAATAAGTCAGAACGCAACTTCAGATGCAATACTTGTCACATAACAAAAGAAACACGGTAGTGGTTTTGATTTGATCCAAAGCTCTTTACGAAAAAGCAGCATCAACTTAAGAGAGACTGAAGTTGACCACATGAAATATTTGTTAATTTTATGAAAAAAAACAAAACAAAAAAAACAATCAGTATCCTTATTTTTCCCTCCTTCCAACTCGTCGCCATTTGTTTTGTGGGTTTCCGTTGTGCTTTCAGAGAGGTGGATGTGTCTCTGCTCAGATCAGGTCTTCAGAGGTTCGAAGTTCTCCTCCTTTCCATCTTTCCTCGAGTGCGTGAGCATTAGGCCTCAGAGCCCAGAGATGTTCTGGTGGGACTGGGTGGCAGACGGGCCGCGGCACTGTGCTCCGTCCGGAAACTATACTCATACTGGCACAGACATAGACAGAAAGAATTAAACACCATCTGAGAGTGAGTTTCACAGCAAACACTGACCTCTAGTGGATCAGTCAAAAACAGCTACACATACGGGTACTGCAGCACACAGTTCTGCTGATCTAAAGCTGAATTCAACATAATATGTGACCCTGGAGCACAAAAGCAGTCTTAAGTTGCTGGAGTATATTTGTAGCAATTGACAAAAATACATTGTATGTGTCAAAATTATCCATTTTTCTTTTATGCCCAAAATCATTAGGATATTAAGTAAAGATCATGTTCCATGAAGATATTTTATAAATGTCCTACCCGTAAATATATCAAAACTTAATTTTTGATTAGTAATATGCATTGCTAAGAACTTCATTTGGACAACTTTAAAGATGATTTTCTCAATATTTTGATTTTTTTTGCACCCTCAGATTCCAGATTTTCAAATAGTTGTATCTCGGCCAAGCTTATTTATTCAGCTTTCAGATGATATATAAATATCAATTTCTCAAAAATGGACCCTTATGACTGGTTTTGTGGTCCAGGGTCACATATAATTTATTAAAAACAAATTATATTAAATATAAATTAGGCAAATATATAAAATTATATATTAGGCAAAATGCAACATTTTATGACCGATACTAAACAATCATTATACTATTATAGTTTTTGTTCATTTGAATTATTTTTGTTTTCACTTTAATTTGTCAAAATGTTTGTAATTTTGTTGTGTGTTTTTGTTATTTGTATTATTATTTTGTAAATATGTCTATATAGTTTTTATTTTTTTATTTATTTATCAGTTTTAGCTATTTTAGTACTAAAAATTTGAAATGCTGCATTGGCAACTAGCTTGAAATAAGTTTATTTATTATTATTATTTTTTTAAGTATTTAAAATTTTTGTATTTTATTTTAGTTAACATTTATTTTATTATAAGCAACAAGTAATTTATTATTGTAAGTAATTTATTTTATGATTTTATTTTGTTTTAGTTAACTATAATAAACCCTGGTTTGTTTACTGAGCATCATGAGAATAATAAACATACAAAAACACATACATAACAGACAAAATATTGAGATTTGATCTGAAACTCAACTGGAATACCTCTTTATTTACATAACATACATCATAAAAAAAAAACCTTTTAAACATCCATTATAATCAATAACCATTATTCATTGTAATACCCTGCCTCTTATAATTTTGCCCATTTAAAGGTTAAACATCAATGTCCAATAAATAATTAAACTTAAAAAAATTATTGATAATAGCCACAATAAACCATTCTTCCAGCAAAAAAGTACAATTAAGTTACAATTACAATTAAGTACAAAAAAATGCAAAAATAGTACATTAAGGTCTTTTCACACCAAGACTAAAAACTATAATGCTAACTATTTTTAAAAACCTTATGGTTATAGTTAATATGGTTCTTGGTGTGAACAGGTCTTTATCCCTGATATAATTAATTATAATGCAATATTTAATATAATAACATAATTATAATTGACTGTGGATAATAGGAAAATGAATACTACTTCAACTGATGTGCATGTAACGGATCTCTTTATCCAATCAGATTTAGAGTAATCCTTTTTTATAAAGTTATACAAAAAGCAAAAACATTTTTGCATTTTAAATAAGGCCACAAATACCTGCTTGGAAACAAAAGCAGCAAACAAACTACCACTTGTCATAGTTGAAACTATGTTCTCACCTCCTTCTCGATCTCTGCAAGTGATTTGATTCTGATGCCCATTAGATCCACCTGCTGCAACTGAAACAGAGCGACACGGTCAGACTAACAACATCCTCCTCAATGTCCAGATCAGTTCATGTGCTAGTTTTAAGTACCCAGAATGCATTACTCTTTACTGCCAAATCTACATCTAACAGTACAGTTTACTCTTTGTGGCCTACAGATTGTGCAAGAGTTCATATGAAGCATATGTGACCCTGGAGCACAAAACCAGTCTTAAGTCACTGGGGTATATTTGTAGCAATAGCCAAAAATACATTGTATGGGTCAAAATTATAGATTTTTTTTAATGCCAAAAATCATTAGGATATTAAGTAAAGATCATGTTCCATGAAGATATTTTGTAAATTTCCTACCGTAAATATATCAAAACGTAATTTTTGATTAGTAATATGCATTGCCAAGGACTTCATTTGGACAACTTTTTTTGGATAGCGATTTTCTCAATATTTGGATTTTTTTGCACCCTCAGATTCCAGATTTTCAAATAGTTGTATCTTGACCAAATATTGTCCTATCCTAACAAACCATACATCAATGGAAAGCTTATTTATT